AGTAGAATAAATAATAAATAACATAAAATAAGCTCCGTAAAGACTGACAAATCCACAAAATTTCAAATCAAATTCAAATGTGTCAAATGAATCGTCAAACAGAACTGTCAAGGCTCCCCAACCTAGAGTGCTTTTATGGCGCTTTTTCCGCCCACCATGCATGAATACATGGATAGCATTATGCTCCTTCCTTAGTCTTCTTATTCAAAGAATTTCCTAAATAGAAAAATGCCATTGACAATTACTGGGGCCTGATAATTGATAATTAAGTAAATATCTGCTTCCATTTATACTGTTTATAGTTGGCGTATACGTATAGTTTGCTTACTCCACCTACAAACTGCTCTATAACTACTGAAAACATATTGGCCTTGTGCAAACAAGGCCAATATGTGTTCTTTTATTCAACTGGCAACAGTTGAATAAAAAATTACTTATTACGATTCAGAGGCCCCCTAAAAGACGGGGCCCGGGGCGGACCGCCCCTTCCGCCCCCCTCCTTAGTCCGCCACTGTATTCGAGAACACTTTAGTTTTTTAAAACAGATACGTCTACAAGAAACCGTTGACGTTCTGTTAAAACAATGTTAAAATGACATTTTTAACTTGATATTTAAACTTCAAAATTAACAATTACTACCTGATAACAATTACTTAATAAGGTAAAACCAAAAAGCCCCAAACTTTCTGTATGATTATTTTTAAATTTTACGTATGTTATGTTTATTTATCTTGTTGTATCTATTGTTCTTTAAAATCAAAGAAGCGATTGCCATACATTACTAACATCTACAAAAAAACAAAAAAAAATGTAATATACCAAATACCCTGTACCCTGTCAATGCGATAAATTTTACATTGGTGAAACATCTAGACTCTAGACCCTTAAATGTCAGAATTAAAGAACATAAAGATTATTTAAGAAAGGGAGATTTTCACAAATCTAAGATTTGTCAGCATTCTTGGGACACAGGGCACAGAATAAATTTTAATAACGCCAAAATTATAATGAAAGAAGCGATAGCCTCTAAAAGAAAGATAAAAGAGGCTATTTTAATTCAATCTAGTAAAAATAAATGTATTGCTCATGCATCTGTAGATGTTAGTAGTGTATGGCAATCGCTTCTTTGATTTTAAAGAACAATAGATACAACAAGATAAATAAACATAACATACGTAAAATTTAAAAATAATCATACAGAAACTTTGGGACTTTTTGGTTTTACCTTATTAAGTAATAATTGTTATCATGTAGTAATTGTTAATTTTGAAGTTTAAATATCAAGTTAAAAATGTCATTTTACCAGAACGTCAACGGTTTCTTTTAGACGTATCTGTTTTAAAAAAAGTAAAGTGTTCTCAAAAACAAATAGTTGAATTTAAATATTTTAAATAGTTTTTTTCTTTATTCTTTGTATTTTTTTGCTTCCGACGACGGAAAGAGATAACTTTCCGAAACGTTAAGCATTTTTTTTTCTTTGTTAGGCAAATTTGTATTACTATAAACATAACTTCTGGCAAGCAGCGTCCGTTTAGGTTTAACGCAGAAGTGTTTACAAAAAATAATTATTTTATGTTGTAGATTTTCTTGCAGTGCAGTGGCGAAATACCCATAAAGGATTTTTTTGGAAAGATTACATCAGTATAATGTGATCGATCGTCATTTCCCAGCGAACTTTGCGTCGTTTTTTTTTCGAAATAACAAATTTTAAAATTTGTGTATATAGTAGTAAAGTAAAGTAAAGATTTCAGTTAACGTATCCTTTACTTTTAATCTGGACGGGGCCTACTTTGTTTACGCGGAATCCGAACCGCGACCCTCGGCCATATCATGGTCAAAGGCCTACCGACTTAGGAAGTGTCTAAATCAACTCTTACTCACGAGATATCCGATCTCATCCGGCCTCGAACCGGCGTGAATGAGCAGTGTGTATCAATCCTAGATTTTACACTTTCCCTTGAACAACAGCACGATACAGAGTTTTGAACCGGTCACCCGTCCATCCACCAGTATCGCCTTCCGTCGCTTAACTTCGGTGTTCTAATGGGAACCGGTGTTTCAACGTAGCTAGGCCGTTGCTACGTATATAGTAGTGTTCCAACAAAGCTCTATACAGGATGTCTCAGACTGAGTAGGCTCCCAGGTCCCAGGCTACAATATTTGGATCGGAGATTTTTTGTTTCACAACAACTATCGATTAAAAATATTTTCAATATGGCGGCACCTCCGGAAATACCGTATCCTAACAACTGACAACAACTTTCTTTTTTTAAATAGGGATCCCCATTTTTTTACATGCTTAAATAATTGTCTGTAAAATTTTATGAATTTTGATATTAAACATTCTACCGGGTGCGTCTCAAAAGTCTCTTTTTTATTTTTCAGATAAAAAAATGAGATATTAGTATGTGACATTAAATGAGATATTGGTAATGAGATATTAGTATGTGACATTAAATGAGATATTGGTAATGAGATATTAGTATGTGACATAAATTAGGATTGATTGCGGCAGAGGTACCCGTGAGGTGGAGGCTGGAGGACCGGTGTCCATTTTCTCCACCTATTTATATTTTTTTTTCTTTCCTTAAACCTGAAACCGGTATTGTCTCGTAACAACACCTATAACAGAAGATATATCTCTCTTTCTCTTATCGGATTATATGTAACATATTACTTATGCCTGCTTGGATTTGAGGTCCAAGCCATGCATGTCCTTAAATTGGAGTTCTGGGAAAGCTGCACTGATAAAAAGATAGACTTGAACTAAAGTCGTCATCGTTCTTGAAAAAAAAAATTTAGTGGCAAGAGAATTTATTTTAGCGTAAAAGAAAATATTTTGCCTGAAGAAAAACTCTCTTAACTCAAGAAAACTGGTTCTCTTGAAAAATTCGAAAATTTCTCTTGAATCTATTTTCATTCAACCAAGTGCAAGTTACTTTGTTTTAAGATAATAAGAAAAATACGCTAGGAAGTACTTCATTCAAGAAACATGGCCATTTTTGCAATAGCTAAATACTCTTTTGATGAAAAATAATATCGACACGCAAAGACAATTACGAAGGACGGTATATACAGTCTGCAGTCCGATCAGTCGTACGTCGCATTTCATAGGTCGGACATCATAGTACGCACGGGTTTTGTTGCTTGGCATTTTCCACTTGGAATTTTGCATAATTTGCTTTTTAAACGCATATCGTATAACAAATTAGTCATCGTTATTAACATGCATTTGTCATTTTTTTATGGACAAATTTTAGGATATATGGATTCTTTAAAGTTTCTGAAAAAATGGAAATTAGAGCATTTATTTGCTATATTTGAAGGTAAGAGACATTTACCTAATGCACCTGTTTAGATAATGCATGCGTGACTATAGATAGAATAAGAATATAGGTATCGATTTTTTTATGCAAATAATTACAAAAATTTTAGAATTTCAAGTCGTCGTATTCAAAAATTCAAAATGTGACAAAAGCTTATAATTTTAATAATTTATTTGCTTTACCTTGATTAATCGTGATGTAACATTTGTACCCCACTTAATAAATCGTGATTTAACAATATCACTTTACTTACTACAGACCAGGAAAACCTAAATTTATCAGAAAATAATATACCTCGTATAGTATGCCTGTATATGGCGTGTATATGATGTGTAGACTTCTCTTAGATTAAAATAAATTTTAGTTGAGTCAATAGTATTCGCTATTGATTTAAGAAAAGTGTCTCTTTAATCAAGAAATGTCTCTTTTCAGTCAAGAATTTTTGCATGAATCAAGAGACTATTGTTCTTGTAACAAGAACTTTTTTCCATATTCATTTTGGGTCAAGAGTGAAATACATTGGACATATAGATTCTTCTATTCTCTCTAATTTTTTAAAATTTTTAAATCTTATGAAAAGATAGTTAATGCTTTGGGCAAAGAAACGTCGTTCTTGGCCCTATTGAAAAGCGCCAATCTTTTGGGTCAAAGTCATATTCATTTCGACTGAGTCCCTGCTTGTCTCCCGGTGTAGACGGTTTTCCATTCTGGCTTTTTCTGTTCTTGTTGGAGCAGAGATGGGAGGTTCTCGCTCTCTCTCTCTCGCTTATTCTTGGTTCCTTTATACTTCCACAAGTGTCAGCTGCTTGTCCTGTAGTCCCTTTGAAGTTGCTCTGTTAATGTTCTCAGTGTTGGTAGGGGTTTTCCCTCCATCGTCGCCGCAACGGTTAGTCGGTTAACCACTTTTACAGAGCCCCACATGTAGAATTAAGAGGGACGAGAATATAATGGGTGTCCCAAGGTTAAGACCAGTAGAGGCTAGTCTTCTATCTAGCCACGCATTCCTTTGACCTGGTCCCGCTATAGTAGGATTTAGGTTTTTGGCGAGGTTGTCTCCTCTTGGTCTGGGCGGTTAAGCCAAGACACCCCGCCACACCCTCTGCCCGTGATTATAACGATAGCCAGTAGAGGGTGCCTGGTATGACGAACAGGGTAGTCCCAGCCGGCATCATTATACGTCTGGTACAATTCTCTTACCACGACATTGCAGCCCAGACAGTGAGATGCTCCTTAGACTTAGCCGAGACGGGATTACCTCTAGACTAGGAGCTTCTCCACCAACGGCAATGTCTCGCATAGCCTAGAGTAACCTAGAGGACCAAGACCAAGGGAGTCTAATCTTGCATTTGGCCATCACTATAAACAGTGGCGGATACAGAAGGGGGGGGGGGGCATGGGGCCTAGGTCCCCTCTAATAAATTGGGTTAAATATTAGGCTTTTGGGTTAAAAATGGCGCTCTAAAAAGCATATTCTACATTAATTTTTATTAGCCCCCCCCCCTAAAATAAATTCCTGTATCCGCCCCTGACTATAAACGATGCTCTGGGGTCTATGATCTATTTATTTAAGTAACCGATGAATTCCTTCAATATTTCATTAATTTACCATGTTGATATTAATGCAATACTCCTATTTCCTGTATACTGTTATATAGACAATTTTTTCTGTTGCAGGTTCCCAATTAGTTTGCCGAGAATGACAAAATGCTGACACAAATGATAATTCGTAAATTGTTTAATTTGAGAAACGCAAACAAGAGAAATAATTTAAAACTAAGCCAAAGATGTTTCAGTAGTCATCTCCCAGAATTGACTAAGGTAATAAGTATTTTATTCTAAGTCTATGGTAATAAGGTAATATATATTAGTTTTATTAGATTAGATAGCACATTTTTTATGATTTCAAAAATATAGGACTTATCTTTTTAATATTTTACATTTATAACAATTATTATTATAACATGCAATCACCTCCTAAATTTTTTCGCACCTAGGCCGCCTTTACAGATTCTATATTAGTGATGAGCAAGCGGAAGACCAAGACCAAGACTCCCTTAGTGTTGGTCTTGCAGTTAATAAGTAGTCTTGGTGTTGGTCTTGGTCTTGCGGAAGAGCAAGTCTTGCGCAAGATTTTTACTAAGTCCACTTTCCACATATCTTTAAATAAATCTTATTATATATATATATATAATATAAAATATTTTAACTTTTATAGGGTGGCTCAAAAAAGTGTGAGTGAATCGGGATTATTTTTTTAATGAAACACCCTGTATATTATTGCATTTTTGGCTTTCTTTCAGATCACTTTACATAATCTAAAGATATGAGCAAATATTTTTCGATACTTTGAGAGATATTAATAAATAAAAAATATATTTTTTCAGCCTTTCTTAAAAATATTATTAAAAAGAATAGGTAGGGTATTAATAAATTTAATAAATAGGTATTTACTTTAGATGGTCTGTACTTACTTTGCTATAAATAAGGTAATCGTAAATCATACAAGATGTTCAAAATTGTACGCCAAACTTTCAAAAGTATAAAATAATTTTTCTTCGTTTTTTTTAAATACTTAGAACACGCTGTATATTATTTCTTCAAGAGATGGAGAATCAACAAATGAACATTTATTTATTGTATTTAGAGTGTTTCAAAATTTTTAACGGTTTCGCAGATATTCGCGGTTTTATATTTCATATGGCATTTTCCACTGTAAATGTTGATCAATTGAAACCACCCAATGATTTTTCTCTCATATTTCGCCGTTAAAAGAGCCATATGAAATAATATTGCGTGTATATGCGAAACCATTAAAAATTTTGAAATACTTTAAATACAAAAAATGTTCAGTTTTTAACTCTCCATCTAATAAAAATGATATACAGGGCTTTCCATTTAAAAAAATTAAGGAAAAATATTTGATATTTTAGCAAGTTTAACGAAGAATTTTGAACACCTCGTATGATTTAAGATTGTGGGGTCTGGGAGATTTTTGACATGAGAAATTTGATTTTGATGTCAATATGACTCCTACTATTAGAGGGCGCCACCTACATGTGTTTTAACTGTTTTGAAGCGTAATAACTTTTTGTCCGTACCTGTATAAAACTTCCGAGCGAAAGAATATACATTTCTGTGACTTTTTACGTAAAAAATATCTCTTTGTAAAAATCGCTACTAGCAACCGTTCTTAAGATATTTAGAATGGAAATAGTCAATACATGTCATTTTTGACGAAAAATAAACACGTTGAGTTAGATAGTTATTTCACTGAAATAATAAATTTGGGAAATTTTTATTTTTTTTTAAATTAATCATAATTTTTTCTGAAAAAAATGATGATAAAGCAGTTTCTGTTGAACTTTTGGCACAAAAACATTTCAAATTTATAATCTCAGTCTAATAACTATTTAGTCAACATGTTTAATTTATGTCAATGATGACAGGTATTGATAATTTCGATTTCAAATATCTCGAAAACCATTACTCATAGCGATTTTTACCAAGAGACCTTTTTCACGTAAAAAACGTCGTAAATGTATATTTTTTTTACTCAGTAGTTTTATACAGGTACGGACGAAAAGTTATTACTCTTCAAATCAGTTAAAACATATGTAGGTGGCGCCCTCTACAAGTAGGAGTCATGTTGACATGAAAATCCAAATTTATCATGTTAAAAAACACCCAGACACCAATTTTCATCCAAATATTGACGTAACTTCATAAATTATTTGGAAAACATCGAAATAAAAATGAAACTTCTACACCCTGTATCTCCGAAACTAAGCATTTAAGGACATAATTTATACGACCTTTTTTACTTATTTTCTTCTGCAGAATATGCTACGGAAGTTTCCGGAATACAGTACGGACCACCCTGTATATATATATATATATACAGGGTGTTCCATTAAGGGAGGTCACCGGCCATATCTCGGAAACTACTGGGTATAGGAAGCCAGGAAAAAAATTCTTAAGACTAAAATGACCATGAGAAAATCCTGGAAATTATTTTTAAGTTCCGCATTTTACCGCAAGAGGCGCAATTGGTAGGGTGAATAACAAAATTCAAGTTTTCTTGAAAATTCTCATATTGAGCTATAACTTTAATAACAGCATTAGAATACCTGAAAAATTCCGCATAAATTCTGTCTGAGGCTCATTGGCGTACCGACCTTAATAAGGGTGGGGGAAGCTCTTGAACGTCTCAGTATTTAAAACTCTGTATCTTCTAAACGACTTATCCGATTTCAGCAAACTTAGGTTTGTTTGAAAGAGAAATGTAAGCGTTTTCAAATACTCAATCCACTGCTACCCAATAGTTACAAATTAAATTGCTAGAGGGCGCAATTTCCAATAATAACAGTTTTTGATTTTGTCACGAAAATTTAAATCATACGGTATAATTTTGATGTCATATTCGGAAAGTAGATTAAATTTGCAACAAAAAACGTTTAGACCGCAATTCGATATCTTCATTCGTTTCAGAATTATTGCCGGAAGAATACTTTATAACGCTTTAATTTGAAGAAATGGTTGTTTTCATAGTTTCGTAAGGTTAAACTTTGAATTGATAACAATTAGTTTTCATTTGTCATATTCCGTGCCTCCCTTCGCACTTTACCTAGGCTTAGGACTAGTCCAAATCATGTAAAAGGCAAAATTTGGAGCGTGCTTAAAGGCCAACGGGCCACAACAAAACAACAATAATACCAGTATTAAAGTTTTTAAGGAACCAATAGAAAGACTATTATTTTTTTTTTTTTTTTTTTTTTTTTTTATAAAAACCTCAACAACCATAAAATTAGACAAAAATTTCATGAAATGCTTTACCTACCACGAAACTATGAAAACAAGCATTTTTTTTAAATTAAAGCGTTATAAAGTATTCTTCCGGCAATAATTCTGAAACGAATGAAGATATCGAATTGCGGTCTAAACGTTTTTTGTTGCAAATTTAATCTACTTTCCGAATATGACATCAAAATTATACCGTATGATTTAAATTTTCGTGACAAAATCAAAAAAAAACTGTTATTATTGGAAATTGCGCCCTCTAGCAATTTAATTTGTAACTATTGGGTAGCAGTGGATTGAGTATTTGAAAACGCTTACATTTCTCTTTCAAACAAACCTAAGTTTGCTGAAATCGGATAAGTCGTTTAGAAGATACAGAGTTTTAAATACTGAGACGTTCAAGAGCTTCCCCCACCCTTATTAAGGTCGGTACGCCAATGAGCCTCAGACAGAATTTATGCGGAATTTTTCAGGTATTCTAATGCTGTTATTAAAGTTATAGCTCAATATGAGAATTTTCAAGAAAACTTGAATTTTGTTATTCACCCTACCAATTGCGCCTCTTGCGGTAAAATGCGGAACTTAAAATTAATTTCCAGGATTTTCTCATGGTCATTTTAGTCTTAAGAATTTTTTTCCTGACTTCCTATACCCAGTAGTTTCCGAGATATGGCCGGTGACCTCCCTTAATGGAACACCCTGTATATATATATTTTTATTTATTTATGAATACCTCGGAAATTATCGAAATATATTTACTCATATCTTAGTATTATGTAAATTGATCTGAAAGAAAGCCAAAAATGCAATAATATACAGAGTGTTCCATTTAACAAATATATCATCCCGACCCACTCACACTTTTTTGAGCCACCCTATAGAAGTTAAAATATTTTCCTGAAATACATCCTAGTACATATTTTAGGTTTGCAATTATTAAACAAAACGCCCAAGTTTCTTATTCTAGGAGCTACAAATGCCCGACGCACTATTGCCAAACCCTGCATATTTTAATAATTTACATTTATAACTAACATTTTAGCAAGCAATCAACCTCGTATTTTTTTTCGTACATATGCCGTCTTTATTTACAGCCTCTATTAATATAGTGGCTATAAATAAATACGGCATATCTACTAGACTTCTAATAAGTCTATTAGATACCACATTTTTTGTTATTTCAAAAATACATGCCCTATTTTTTAATATTTTTTGATGAATATTCCAGCTGAAAAAAAAATAATAAAAAACCTTTTAAAAGTGGGACAGTATAAAATGATAACATGACAATATAAATATTTTTTTAGAACCGCTATTCAGTGAAAAGGGGTAATTATGCTGTTCTAACCGAAGATCATAAACAATTTTTTATAGACTTACTTGGATCTACGAGAGTCATAACTAATCCTGATGAATGTTTAAGCTATAATGTTGACTGGATTAAAAACGTGAGGGGTAGGATAAGAATTATATTTTTTTATTAATTCTTTGTATAAATTTAATATGTTTAATAAATTTAAATAAATAAACGCACAAAATGAAAAGTCTCGTATACAGGGTGGCGCCACCATGAGACACGGAGGCTACAAGGAGAACAACAGTTTGTATATTGAATTGACATTTTGTGACCATATAAATATGTAGGTTAATTAAAATTATTTTTTAAAATTATATTTACAGGGTGTTTCAAAAAACATGTGCTATCTCTCGTGGAGAGATTCTTCACATAAAAATAAGTACTTGTTAATAATTAAAAAAAGTTCAATCATTCTTTTGGTGTTAGGAATATACAGGGTGTTTCAGAAAACATGTGCCATCTCCCGTAGTTCCTCACGTAAAAATAAGATTTATTTTTCATATCAACATAGGTCCGATTAGGCTTTGTTTCGTAGCTACAGGGTGTTAAAGTCTTAATAATTTTTCGATTTATTATAATTTTCTTCCAAGTACTTTTAGCGTTTCGAATGAAATTTTCAAGGTAGAACTTGTACCGTAGAAGTGACTATAAATGCGACATATTTTAAAGTTAAAAAAGTGTCGACATATTCACCAGGGATGTGGATGTGGGTTATCACTGGAATATTTTTCTAAAAAAAGCATGTACGCCACTGACTTTTTTCTCCTGTTAACGAAATAGTGCAAGCAGTTTAATGCCGATTAAAAGTTGTCTCTTAATATTTGGTCGATTTCGGCCTCCTTGATGAGATAAACGCAATTTTATTAATTTGCCTTGATCCGAGTCTAATAGCAACCTTTAAAGAAATAAATATCATTAACTTGCGACAGTTTTAAAAAAGTACACATTGATTTCTCACCAAAAAAAATAAAAAAAGTTCCTATAAACATGGGTATGGAAATGCATAGTTTTAGAGTTACAAGATGTTAAAAATTATTAAATTAGTTTTTTTTGTAATTATTTTAAATACCATTATTTTTTATTTGAAATTGCCCTAGATTGGACTAATAGTAATAATAACTAATAGTAATAATAAATATAATAAATATTTAATAAGAAATTAGGTAAAATATATAATTAACTGCACCACCCTGTAGCTACGAAACAAAGCAGAATCGGACCTATGTTGATATCAAAAATAAATCATATTGTCAAGGTGTATGTGGCGCCATCTGTCGGAGAAGTGAGCAACTAAAACAGCAACGTGTCAAGAAAAATGGCGCATTCGTCAGAAAGTAAAAGAAATTCTACAGAATTCTAGAATAGAATTTTCCGGACGACCCACAGCTATATAAAAGGCGCGCTATCGACAGTTGGGACAGTTTAAAGTTTGATAATACCGCGTTTTAAATTGTGAATTAATTGGCGAAGGTGCCAGTACCGTTAGGCTTTGGCCACACTGAAGAGCGGTCGGGCGTGCAGCGAGCGGCTAGCGAGCGAGCGATAATCTGTTCGGCGATTTTGTGGACATACCGAAGAGCGATTAGTTTGTCTTGTTTCATTGTTAGTATAGGTTGTGCAAAAATGTCGTTATCCAGGGTGAAAAGAAATATTCTAGTGACTGGTAATCTCTATATGCAATGAAATATATTTTTCAAAAAATCTCGAAAGTATGGAACGCATCCTATTAATCGAAGTAGACAAACATTTGGAGAATTTCATCACCTGTATTTTGAGTTAAGAGATTTTCCTGACAGATTCTTTGAATATCTACGTATGTCTAGAAATACGTTTGATTTTTTACTTAGCAAGATTAAAAACAGAATTACGAAAAGAAAAACAAATTATCGTACGCCTATATCAGCCGAGGAAAGGCTAGTGGTAACTTTAAGGTAAGAACCATATTTAGTCTTTAGGTTTGCAAAGTATATTTCATATTATAAAATTATAAGAAAATACATTCTATTCTTTACAACTTCCGATATGTTGTGTGTACACCATTAACAACCCTATGTTCTATCTGCTGTGATTCACCAACATTTTGTTCCCCTTGCTGTACATCATCAATATTCTGATCCACTAATTGCTTCTTTTTTTTCATTTTTATAATTAGTGATAATATCTCAGATTTTATTTCCAGTTTTTCTAAATCTGTGAAATCAGCTTTTTCTAAACTTTTAAGAAACAGCAAATCTGCATTTTCTTCTTTGCAGTCTTGTTCTAAAAGCTGAACTTTCCTATTTTCCAGTTCCAAAAACTTGTCCTGCACATCTGGTTTGGTTCTCTTTTGTCGATTAAAACTTGAGCCACTTACTGCTGCTCTGTGGGATGGCCCTGAAGAATGTGAGTTTTGAGGAGACATATTATTATAATCATCCTCCTGTCCATTTTCGGATTCACTTGAATCTCCCGTTTCCATCAGTGAAGTCCCTTGCGTTTGCGAATTAGTTTCCATTGGTAAATTTCCTTGCGTCTGCAAAGGAACGACAAAATCTCTTAAGAAGTACATCTGGTCAAAATACTGCCATTTGGGTTTCCCAGGTAGTGAGGGATCTCCAGATTTCGGAACTGGTATTTTTTTTAACCTCCTTTCTAAACTGATCCTTCAATTTCTTCCATTTGAGTTTTGCATCGGAAACTGAAAATAAAATCATTGGAATACTAAAAAAATGCAACTAATACAAAATAATATGCACAAATGAAAACTTATTTTTGTTTTAGGTATTTGGCAACTGGCGCTTCATTTAGATCTTTGGCGTTTTCCTTCAGAATGGGAAAATCTACAATTAGCAAAATAGTTTTTGAGACTTGTGCAGTTATATGGGAAGAGCTTGTTGACGAATTTATGCCAGTTCCTACTGAAATACATTTAAAAAAAAGTTATACGTGACTATTATAATCGGTGGAAATTTCCAAATTGCTTCGGTTCTATAGATGGAAAACACTGTCAGATTAAATGTCCAACGAATTCTGGGTCACATTATTTTAACTATTTGCACTACTTTTCTGTGGTTTTACAAGCTGTTGCTGACGCAGATAAAAAAATTTTGACGATAGAAGTTGGAGGGTGAGGTAAACAGAGTGACGGTGGGACTTTTGCAGGATCAACACTATTTAATTTTTTGGAAAGTAATATGTTCAATGTGCCTCAGTCAGCCAACCTACCAAATACAAATATTAAACTACCAAACTTCTTAATAGGAGATGAACAAGTACAACAACAATTCAAATTCGTGAAGAACTTGCAAATTACTTATTTCAATTGCCTCGATAATTATTGTAATATAATTCATATTTATATTTCACTATATCGAACAAATTAATGTGTGTATGTATAATGTAAATAATAAAAAATTCTAATTTCTATTGCTATTAATTGTTATATTTATAATTATTTTTCAATACTTACCACTACAATTACATGCCGCAGCAACCTCTTGCCATATTTTTTCAATAGCATTTTTGTTTTTATAGAGTGGATGACTATCTTGCCACAAAGGTCTCCGTGTTTGCACTTCGGATATAAGAAGTTCTTTATTTACGTTTTTGCCACTGCTACACATTTTGTCACGCTTTATTCTCAATTATATTTATCATACTGACAACAAAAATAATAATAAAAACAAGTTTCTACATATCATAAATATTTACTTCGGCCGTATTCGTCACAATTCGGTGTCCCGTCACAAAATTCGCACGCTCGAAATTCAAACAGATTTGTTTTTTAATAATTCGCTCGCTGCACGCTTGAATATCGCCCGCCCGCAAAAGTTCAGTGTGGTCACTTGTATTGTAGCCCAGTGTTTAGAAAAATCGCTCGCTCGCTGGACGCCCGCTCGCTCTTCAGTGTAGCCAAAGCCTTAGAGTAATATTAGTTGCATAAATCGTGTTGTAAATTAGTATAACTTGTGCGTACAGAGTGAGAGAAAATAAATTCGTTAAGTATTTTACCGTGAGTTTAAATTAGTGGACCCGCGAAATCCGTAACAATTGGTGTCAGAAGTGGGATTTAAGTGGATTTTGAAGATTTTACACCGAATTTGGGAATTTTTATGGTTGATACGAGAGAACAAGCGAAGAAAATGGAGGAAGTAAGCAAATTATTGGGCGATTTTATGGAGAATATGAGAAGGGAAAAGGCAGAAGAACAAGAGAGGCTGCGTAAAGAGAAAGCAGAAGAACAAGAAAGACTACGTAAAGATAAGGAAGAGGAAAAATTACAACGGCAACAAGAAAAACAAGAAGAACAGGACCGGCTTGAGAAAATTCTGGAAGGCTTAGAGGCGCGTCATCAGAAAGAAAGACAAGAGGAACAGGACCGGATCGAGAAAATTTTACAAGGGTTTGAAGTGCGTCGATAAAAAGAAAAACTTGAAGAGCAGGATCGTATTAAGAAAAGTCTCGAAAATATGGAAAAAAGCAACAAGAACGTTGGAAGTACGTTGCCAGGAACAGCAGAACCACTTCCAAGAAGCCGTAGAAGATCTGAAGGAGCGCCTTCAGCAGAAGATAGAAAGGTTGGAGATGGACCTACAGAAGACCAAGGTACAAGTAAGGACACCTGGCGTTCCGGGAACTGCGAACCTTAAGGCTCCGACCTACGATGGACAAACGACATGGACGATGTACCACCGCCAGTTTGAAGCTGCGGCTGCTGCCAACGGATGGACCGACCAGGAGAAAGCAGCGGCACTTGTCATCGCGCTGCGTGGCCCTGCCCTGGAACTGCTGCAAACTATTCCTGCAGCCCAACAGCAGGAGTACGAAACCTTGGTTGCTGCATTGGACCGAAGATATCGACAACCAACATCGACGTCAACTTTACCAGGCCCAGATCAAGACACGCCTGCACAGGTCAGGAGAGAGTCTGCAGGAATTCGAAGCAGACTTACGTCGGCTGGTACACCTGGCATATCCAGAAGCACCGGAAGGGTTTAGGGAGGAACTCGCCGCCCAGTGTTTTATCAGCGGACTGAAGGACCACGAGTTAGAGAAGGCGCTGCAAATATCGCGGTTTTCGACCAGCAGCGAAGTACTTGTCAGGGCGCTGGAAATAGAAGCTGCATTTAGCGCCATTCCTAAACTGAAGATAGGCTCGGTAACGGTTGAGGAACAGCCAAAGAGTTCTGACATACGTTTGGAGGAGATGTTTAATAAACTATGTGAGTTACTAGTGAATAAAAGAGCCAACAACACTCAGACAGAGAACCAGAGAAGATCCATTAGGTGCTATGACCAGTAATTAAATTTTAAATTTTACTGGTCAACTAAAATTTAGGTAGCTGTTAACGAAATTTAAAATTTACTCTCTATTTTCAAAAATGTGAAATATGTCAAAATCCTTAGATATTGGGGATATGCTTCTTTAGTAAAACTCACCTTTATTTTTTTTCCGAAAATCAAGTAATATATAAGGTATCCCATTAGAAAAAACAAAACTTTGATGTGTAACTTTTTTTGGGGACGCCCTGTATAATTCTATATATTTTTATAAAATGCTTTCAGTTAACCTACATATGCTGCCAAAATTTCATTTCGATATAAACTACCGTTCTCTTTGGAGCTTCCGCAGCGTATGAGAGGCGCCATCCTGTACAAAAATTTACAAAAAATTCGAATTTTGTCAAATAAATTTAAAACTTTTTTTACGTTTAAACTATAATCCGTCCAAAGTTACCTTTTCGTTATAAGTAGCAATAATTCAATTTCGTTATTCTGGCAGTTCTATGGAAAAGAACTTGCCTGAGCGTAAAATACAGAATTCATTGCATTTTTTCTATAAAACTGCGGCGTGGATCGATTTCATTCGAAATTAAATATTTTTTAACAGCTATAATAACCAGCAAATAACCAGTACCCACTTCTAATCGTCCACTGAAAAATGTATTTATTGCTGATGACTTTTCATGGAATTAGTAAATTAATTACTTTGTATTAATATAAAAAACACTTTTAGTTTTTGTAGAAAAACATTTTTTTCTGAAAAAATACTAAGTTGTTAGTTTTAGTAATAGAAAGTTGTTTTCAAAAGAACATGTTATGCGCCATTAAAATTATTATTAATTTAATTTTGGTACAAGTTCATTGTTTATATTCTTTTCCAGACTGCCTTCTATTTAAAATATCGAAAAAAGTTAAAAAAACGACGCTATTTCGAAAATAGTTTCTAGTAGAATTTTTCTATTAGTATTTTTATATAAGTAGTTTTGACGAATTATATTTTAGACGCAATAAGTTTAATAATTTTTCAATAAGAATCAGTTAAAGAGTGTATATAGTATACAGGGTGCTACAAATTCAAGGTACGAGCACTGGTATTTCGGTAACCGTAATAGATACGAACATGGTTAAATTGGGGCAAAGTTGCGTATTGGGATGTTCACCTAGATGCCATCAAAAAAAGTTTTAAAAATTTCAAGGATTGCTGAGTTTTTTGGAAAAAAAGTTTTTTTTTGAAAATTAACTTTATTTTTTCCTGTCGTTATTTTTAAGAAAATCAAAAAACTAATTACACATTTTTATAGCTACTTTATTAGGGCTATCTGATAGTATTTTTAGATTTTCAAATTAGCTGATAATTTGTGAGATACAGAGTCCAACTCAATTTTTTTAAATACGGACCTGCATTTTTTATTTCAGATTTTGAAAGAACTCAGTCTCCTGAGTACAATGATATGCCACACTTTATACTTTTTTTTGTTTTGGGTCCCTTAACAACAATAAAACTATTTAATTATTATTTAAAATAATTTCAAGTCCGACTCTGGTTTTTTAAAGTATTTAATCTCATTATATTCATCGCAACAATATTAGCCAGCGCTAATTAACATTGAATAAGGAAAATCGAGCCAATTGGTAGATTCAAATAAATTATATCCAGGTCAGCAATTTAAAGATATTATTTTTAACTTATTTTTATTGTGAATTTGAAATCTCAGTGTGCGATCTAATATGCGTAATATTAATCGTAGTTATCATAAGTAAATCAACTTCTACAAACTAGTTTCTAATGTTCTACATGTTCGAAATGGTTACCAGTTACCATTTACCACCCTCCCTATTGCACAAATGTATTTTTCGTTCAATTTTATTTATAACTCTTTGAACTTTCTTCTTATACTTCAGAATGCATTTTGTACTCTTTATTGGAAATGTTGAGATGTATTGATTTCACTTTTACAAATGACGCGAAGTAATGTATTCATTTGTATATTATTTTTTATTATTTTATTGCATTTGATTTTCCATATTTAATGTTATACCCCACATCATTTTTAGTTTGAAAGCTTATTAATATTGTAATGATGAATAAATACAGGGGCGGATACGGGAATTTATTTTAGGGGGGGCCAAAATAAAAAGCAATGTAAAATATGCTTATTAGGGCCGTTTTTAACCCAAAAGCCTAACATTTTACACAATTTACAGATTTTAGGGGTAGCCCGTGCTCCATAGGCCCCCCTCTGTATCCGCCACTGAATAGAAATAATAGTATAATAATAGCTCCCATATATAGCGTTTAACGCCTTGGGAGTAGCAAGGTACAGCTTGCCATACGAGAGCCGTTCGGTATACAAGGAAGGTAATGTGGTTAGCACTACGCTTCAACCGCCTATTATTACCTCAGGATTGTGAATCCCAAGTACTCATTTAAGGCTGAGTCGACCTAGGTACCCAAACTATTTTTATTTTAATAAAAATAGTCGGCTGATGCAATGCCGGGTGTGGGATTCGAACCCATTACCTTGAGATTGGTAGACGAGCGCCTGTACCTCTACGCCACCGAGCACCTATGAATAGATTAAATATTAAAAAAAACAGAGCCGGACTTGAAATTAGTTTAAATAAATTGTGTTCAAATGTCCGAAACAAAAAAAATATTAAGTGTGGCATCATTATACTCAGGAGACTGAGTTCTTTCAAAAACTGAAATAAAAAATGCAGGTCCGTATTTAAAAAAATTGTATCTCACAAATTATCAGCTAATTTGAAAATCTAAAAATACTGTCAGATAGCTCTTATAAAGTGGCTATAAGAATGTGCAATTATTTTTTTGATTTTCTTAAAAGTAACGACAGGAAAAAATAAAATTAATTTTTAAAAAAATCCGTTTTTTCCAAATAACTCAGCAATTCTTGAAATTATTAAAACTTTTTTGATGGCATCTTGGTGAACATCCCAAAGCGCAACTTTGCCCCAATTTAACCATATTCGTATCTATTACGGTTACCGAAGATAGTGCTCTTACCTCCAATTTGTAGCACCCTGTATAGTCTAGTCAAATTGTATCTTTTTGGGGAAAATTTTGGGGTAGGTGGTTTTGATTTATTTTGTTCTTCATGTTTTTTTAAACCTATTTTAAAACCTTAGATTCGAATTCAGCATTCCAAAAAACAGAAGGGAAAAAATTAATAAACAGAACAAAAAGATAATAAACTGAAGAAATTAGAACTATCCCACATTTTTCCTCCAAAAGGCTTTTTTTTAGTAACATTTGACTAGATTAATTTGTATAACCATTATATTATTATCGCCAGGTATACTTACTGATTCTGATACCCTGCTTAATAATTATTAATAAACAAATATTTGTTTAAGGCTACAGTACATGCATTTTAAAGCCAAAAACAACAGAGGAAGTTTCAAATATCTTGGCGTTCTGTAATGATAATAGAATTGCGGTTTGCCCACAAGGAGGAAATACCGGTTTGGTTGGAGGATCTGTACCAGTTTTTGATGAAGTTGTTCTTTCCACGTCGTTAATGAATAAAATTTATAGTATCAATGATACTTCAGGTAATATAGAGTTTTGAGTCTCTTTAAAAGTGTAGTTGAATGTCTAACCAAATCTAACAAATATATCTAAACATGCAAATATGTATGCTTGCGTCCAGAAAAAAAAACATGGAAACATGGAGCTAAAAATTAGCCATAAATACAGGGCATCCCAGATATAAATGCAAGTATTTTAAGTGGTTGTATTCTGTATTAAAACCACTATTGGGTATATTTCTATTAAAATATTTTTTTATTGCGAACATTGGCCATTTTGTGCAATATTATTTTAGCAATAAGTCAATAATAGGTCATAACGAAATAAAAAAATTAATGAATATTAAGTTGCAAAACATAAATACGATATAATTTTACCAATATTGTATTAATCCAAAATACAAAATATTGATGAAATATCTGAAAAAAGAACTATCTTCAACGTTCTACGAGTATTAGCAACGTTTCTATAATATTGTGAAATGTTTTTACAAGGTTGCGACAAGTTTTAAAATAACCGTGCACTGGGTCGGACTGGCCATATAGTCAGGGTGGCGATTGCTAGCCGGGCCCCAGCCTTCGTGGGCCCCCCTGTCTTAGGACCTAAATGTAAAATAGTTTATTATTTACTAGCGTGTACCAGCGACTTCGTTCGCGTCGAATTAATCATTTGTAATGGTGATGATAAAGCAAAGCAAGAATTTCCATTAACCTACAAACTGGATAAACTTTTCTCACATATATATATGTCAGCATGAGAAAAAACAATATGGCGATATTATTATATAACTTGGTAATATTTGAGGGGTAGTTTCATCTCGTTGGAATTTGACTTTCGAAAAATCCGTTTGCCAAAAATAAGCTTTTTACGTGAAGCAGTTTAAGCAGAATCTTGGTTAAGAAATTACCCAACTTTTTGGAACACCCTGCATGATTTTTTTAAAAAATTTCAAAATATGTAAAAAACAAATAAACTATGCTTGTCCAAGCGTTTTCCCGAAAGACTAACCGTTTTTTAAATAACAAATATTGTAATATTTGAGGGGCGTTTTCACCCCCTTGGAATTTGAGATTCGAGAAACCCCTCCTTATCGAACCTACACCCCACAGTCAATCCGTTTGCCAAAAATCAGCTTTAAACGTCAAGCAGTTTAAGCAGAATCGTGATTACTCAATGGTCATATTTTATGAAACACCCTGTATAAATTTATAAAAAATCTTAAAATATGTAAAACAACAATAAAATTATAAAAACAATAAAATATAATTGTTTAAGAGTTTTTCCGAAAAGCTCACCGGTTTTTTAATAAAAAATATTTTAATATTTGAGGGATAGTTTCACCCCCTTAGAATTCGAGTTTCGAAAAATCCCTAACCTAACCTAACCCTAAAGTCAATCTGTTTTCCAAAAATCAGCTTTTTACGTCAAGCGCTTTAAGCAGGATGATTAATCAATGACCAGATTTTTCGAAACACCCTGTATACATTTTTAAAAAATCTTAAAATATGTAAAAAAACAAAATAAAATATACGTGTTTAAACGTTTTTTGCGGAAACTTGACCGTTTTTTAAATAAAACATATTCTAATATTTGAGGGGTGGTTTTACCCTCTTGGAACTGGAATTTCGAAAAATCCCTTCTTATCGAACCTCTTCACCCTAGAGTCAACCTGTATGCCAAAATTGAGCTTCTTACGTTGAGTGGTTTGAGCAGGATCGTGATTAATCAGTATGTCAGTCACTTAAGGATTTTATATATTAGTTTTTTTTATAGATTCTTAATTACACTAAAAAATAAATTGTAATAAACCCAGCAATTGTAGAAAACAGTACTGCATTTTGTATCTTAAAATGGTAGTAGGCATCACCCAAATAAAAACTGTCGCTTGCGATCCAGAGCCTCGCAATGACATATTAGGTGCTCCGCTGTTTCAGGATCTTTATCGCAGAGTCTGCAGCAAAGACTTCCTTGATACAGGTTGAGCCTGTTCAGGTAACACTTGACAGCCATGTGTCCTGTCAAGAGGCCTGTTGTAATCCGCACTTTATTCCTCCCAGAGAGAAACTAATAACTAAAGTGAGAGGGCTTGTGGAATAGGGCATTACGTAGACAAGTTTATTTTGTCACCGCGCATCCCAGACGCCCATAGCGTTTAGGCGGTCAAAAAAGGAAGTTTCCAACTTTGCAAGTTAAACATTTGACAGGATTAATTAGATTGTCAGTAGCTTTTTCTATTTCTTAGTTCTAGAAGGAGATAACTAAAATCTGTTGATAATCGGAGCAAATCGGAGTAATAAATTGTTTTTGACTGAATGTGCCTCTTCTTTTAGCTTGTCAGAAGAGAAGATTATTGTCATTATTGATTATTTCAGATTCCACGATTATTCAGCATTTTTGTAATTTTTGTTTTGTGGTTGAGACCCAGACAAAACGTTTCCTTTAAAGGTAAGTTTTATCTCGGTAATTATTTTAACATACCTAATAGTAATAGTGAGTGCACATAATAATCGTACATTGCTAATTTATTTTTTTTAATTTAAAACATCACATTCTTTTCTGCTACCTATGGAACGACTAGGTATTATACCTGGTATTATTTCGAGTAATACAAATTATTTTCTTCAACTGCTAGGTTCTTGTTATAGAATAAAGACTATATCAAAAACATTGAATACCTACGGGATACCTACTGATACTCTGTGCCAGCTCCCAACCGTGCTTCCCTGTTCACTCCCAACCAAGTTAGATAAAAAAGATACTGAAGATTGCAGCCTTGAGTTGGAGTATGGCAAGGAGTATGGAGTTAAATAAATTATTATGTTCCTATACAGTATTTTATTTATAGGTTTTAATGCTTAAAAATTAACAATATTTAAATAATTAAATATTGTTAATTTAAATGGCCGGGCAAACGCTATCGCGCCTTGCCGCTGTGACGTCACCCGCCGTTCTTCTGGTTGAGTGGAGCCAGACGCGTGTTTATTTTACACAGTTTGCTTTTAAACGCTGTTGAATCCGAGTCAAAATTTTAGTTATTTGTGTTAATTAATACATAATTAGTAATTAGTGATATTTATAAATAGTAATGGATGAGCGAAAACAGAAAAAAATGGTCCAAGGCCATAAGAAGAGTTGAAAAGAAAAACGTTAAATTATCCTCTATTTTTACGATTTATTGTTGTGAAGATTATTTTGATGTAAGTTCATATATTTATGTATATTGTCTTACATAGGTATATGAAATTTGAATGTACATGGTTATTCATTATATTTTGACACCCACATACAGCCTTAACTGCAAGTAGAAGAAAACATTAAATAAAAAAGTTCCATGGTTTTTCATATACTCTCTTTAAAAATTAATTCTATTTATACAGGGTGTCTCAAAGAAGGTGGTCCAGAAAATTTTAGGTATTTTTCGCTTTTCAACTGTCAATATTTCGTAAACATTTGAAGATAGGTATAGGATATTATACATGAAATATATCTAGAATACCTAGAAATTTCCGAAGAATCCAAAAATATATAGGGTGTTTCACTTAAATAAGTAACTTAATTTTGGCGTTTGCTTATGGGACACCTTGTATAATATTTTCATTACTGATAAACAATGTATTTCCTATAATTTCGTAAAAAAAATATTTAAAAATAACAAGAGTAAGGGAGTGTCAATATATAAAAAAAACTTTCTTTTTCACGCTATGCTCTGGAGATATTTTTCCACGTACTAAACAAATATTTTTGTCTCTTTTCACTTCTACATAACCTACATCTCCATACGTCTCCCTACCTGATCTGAAAAATAAGTTTATAACATTAATTTATAACTATATAAAGTTCGTAACAGTAGGTACCTACTTATACTTAAATATGCCTCAGTACTACAAAGAATAAATGTTACATACCTCTCTGTTTTTTTCCTCGTAATTCAGCACCAATAAATTGGGAATTTGTATTTATAAAAGCAGCCAACATGAAAGCATCGACTTTTGGCAAGTTATCTGATTGTGCTTTTACAAACCCGGAATCTGCCATTACTTAAAAAATTTTCATAACACACAACACATACAAATAATAACTGCACAAAAAAGCATAAAAAGCTTCTTCAATCAACGCTAAAAGCAACAAAAATGTCTTAGTACGCCACCTAAATACGTACATAAACGGAACACGTCTGGCTGCTGCTGGCCATCGCGCGTCTACGAGAATGGCGGGTGACGTCAGACCAGTAGAATATCGTTTCAATTCGCGGGGCGTCGTTTGCGTTATCCATAGTATTTTAATGGCCCTTTTTATAAAATTGTGGTACTGCTTTCAAGAAAAAAGTTTTTATTTGCATTTACACATATTTATTCTAATAAATTGAACAGTTTGTGGCGAAAAATAAAATATATGCATCTTCCTCATTGGCGGTCAATGTCAGCACCGTTTAGGGAAAGGTATTACATATTTTCATTTTTAATAATAATGAACATTGAACAAATATCTTCACTCTTGGCTTTATTAGAGGAAGATGAGGAGGAACAACAGAGGTAATTAAATGTTTTATTAGCTCCAGTTGCTATAGCTATACTAGACTACTAGATCGTACGCTATTTTTTTATTTTCAGAAAAAAAAACGAAGAATTTGGGTTCATGATATAAACTTAGAGCGAGAATCTAAAGGCGAATTTTATACAAATTTTCAAGATCTAAAACACAGAGCGATTTTTAGTGTATTTTAGAATGAGCGTGGAATGTTTTGATGAAATATTGAATCTTATAAAATTAGACATTACTAGGCAAGTAGTGATTCCCACGAGAGTCTCGTTTTCGAGAGTCTCGATGGTCTCGTCTTGTTTTCGAGACGAGGCTCGAGGCGATACTGGGACAATACGAGACGAGACTTTTAATGGTCTCGTCTCGAGTCTCGTAAAAGACTTCTCGTGTCTCGCACGAGAGTCTCGCAGGTGAACACTTGAAAAACCTTTACTTAAAAACCAACTTTTACTTAAGTTCCAAAGTGCGTGTGAAGCAACTGGTAATTCTCGGCAACTGACACCTGTGTTGGATGTACCTACACGCTGGAATTCCAGTGATGATATGTTGCAAGTAGCTCTTAAAGGCAGACATGGACTCGTTGTATTATGTCAAAATGTTGTTGATTTAAAACCATATGCTCTTAGAGATCTTGAAGAGCAGCTTATTGTTGGTTTTCAGGCTGCGAGAGATAAAATACTAAAGCATTATCGTAAAACGAACTGGATTTATGCTGCAGTTTCAATTCTCGATCCACGTCATAAGTTAAATAAAGAAACGTTTGATATGACAAAATGGGGCCAAGAATTAAAAGATAATTCGATTCAGAAATTTCAAGATATTTGTAAAGTCTATTTTCATCAATTAGAGGGACAACGTTCGACAGAAACAGCGGTGGCGCAACAAGGACGAGAAAATTCTGAACCTGAAAAGTCGGACTTTGTAATTGATTTTGATGCCTTGTACGCAGTAAATCCTACCCCTGCCGAAGGAGAATGGATGCAGGAGCTTCAAAAATACTGTTCAATTCCCCGGTGTAATAAAGACACAGATATATTACAATGGTGGAGAACTCATGGTTCTGAACTTCCTATTTTAAGTTTGATGGCACGAGATCTATTGAGTATACCAGCTACCTCAGTCCCAGCGGAAAGGTTATTCTCTCATGCTGCGTTAACCATTAGAAAACACAGAAATCGCCTTAATAATGAATCTGTACGATGTTTGTTATGCCTAAATGACTGGGTGAAAAACAAAAACATTTGCGACCGAGAAGGCTGTTAGTACCTATATTATTGTTTTTACTTGTTTTCAAAATTAATGTTAAGTTTTTGGTTTTTGTTTTGTGTTTACGTATTACTATGACATATATGATTTTTATGTCCAACCAAAACAAAACCAAACTAAACTTTGGGAACACGTGACTTGAGATCAATCTTTTTTTACACAAGTCCTCACCCTGAATGTTTAGTAGTAGTTGTAGCCTAATAAATATGCTAGTTGTAGTCTAATAATTGCTAGTTGTAGTCTAATAATTGCTAGTTGTAGTCTAATAATTGCTAGTTGTAGTCTAATAATTGCTAATATGCTAGTTGTAGTCCAATGCTAGTTGTAGCCTAAAATATCGATTAGTTAATAAAAAATAAACAAGAAAAATTAGATAAATTACAAAAATGTTCCGTTTTTTTTACAAATATCCCGTGATCCCAAGGTTGTTTTGTACAAACTGTAAATACATATCCCGTACTGGACTGGAACAAGGATTATGCATGACGAAATTTCGATACTTTCACGAGACTCTCGTACGAGACGCGAGACGAGACGAGACTGGAGGCTCCGAGACGAGAATCGATACGAGACTCCTTATTTTATCGGCGAGAGGAGACAAGACTTTATGAAAGTCTCGTCTCGTTGGTCTCGTGGGAATCACTGACAAGTAGTTACTTAGACAAAACTTTACACACTACAGAAGATCCATCGAACCAGCTGAACGATTAGCAGTAACACTTAGTAAATAAATAATTTATAACATATTTTCTAAACATTTTTATTATTATATTAGAAATATACATTGAATTAATTAATTAGTGATTGTCTAGTGAAGACCCAAAATTCATATATTTTTCACATTTCAAATTCATTTTCACATTGAATTCACGTCATTCACGTCTGGAAGCGAGGATTGTGATAAGTTTGGTCTGCTCAAAGAGCATTGCCGTAACTACAGGGTGGCCCAGGGGTGCCGGGCCCCCCATGTACTGCTGGGCACCCCCCAGAGAAATCCTGAATTGACTCTTGGCTACGTATTAATTTTTATTTGCTTGTGATGCAGTAAAAATGACGTTTTCTAGTTTTGTTTATTTAATATTATTTTCGTTATAGTGTTCAAAAAATGTGTTAATTTTTATTTTTTTAGAAAATTTGTAAGTATTTAAGTAATCTACGGGAACACCGTTTGATAACCAAGTCTATGAAATTTATTGATGGAGAAATTCATGAAAACGTTTATTCAAAAAATGTGTTTTTTTAAATTTATTTTCATTTTTAAAAAAACAAAAGCCCTAGGCCCCCCCTGTGCTCAACCCCAGGCCCCCCTCCCAGGCTCACCCCAGGATAAATTGCTAGTTACGCTAATGTCAAAGATGTTGAAGTATTTGCATTGAGAGCATGCTGCTCCTCTTCTTCAAGCTGCGCCAACTCATTTTCCATTATTAATTGCGACATCTTAAATTTTACAATTGCTTGTCGTTTTTTTGAAAATTTTTTGACAGTTTTTGCATATCCTTTAAATATGTCGTCAATATCATCAGCTGCTAAGTTTTCTCTATTTTGATGCAGGCAACAAATTACCTGCTCAACAGCTGATCCTTGGGAATTAACCATTGTTTTCTTCTTTTTCTCTGGTTGTTTTACTTCGCAATACACCTGTCGCTTTTTTAATTGGTTTTCTTCAGTATCACCCATAATTGCAGGAATATTCTCAGCAACCGTTACCTGTTCAACCGGTTCATGATTGTTCAATTGGTCGTGATTTGTGTCTTCTCTTAGCTGGGATGATTCGGCTGATTGGCTTACCGGTAATATGTTTTTGTTTGTGTGTGTCTTGGCAAATGACAAAGACTTTCGTAAAAATTCCATTTGTTGAGCCCACGGCCAGGTTTTATATCGATCTAAATTTTTCATTTCCTGTCCAGATTTTGTTTTTTCAGTTCTCAAAAATTTAGCATAAGAATCCCGTAGGTTCTTCCACTTCTTTTTCAGTTCATCTCCTGCAAAAAAATATAATTTTCTAAGCATAACTTTTAATTAACATAATCCTGTACTTTAATAAAATTTCTTTTTAGAATTCCTCCCCAATTCCTTGGGGATTCATTTAAAACTATTGGCCACAGTTTCCGAATGGGATTTAGAACAGTTAGTGGCATAGTGTTGGAAGTTTGCACTTCTATCTGGAATAGGATGCAGTCTTTGTACAGGGTTGTTCACCACATACGACACGGAGTATTGTAGCTAAACGATTAATTTTTTAGAAATTGTAAGTTTTGGGTTCGTTGAAGGACTATTAGAGCTACATTTTAAAAATATTTTTGCAAGATACAGAATCTCCAAAATAAGTAAAAAATATTATAGTTGTATTTTTTTAAATGGAACACCCTGTATATTATTCTATTTTTGGATTTTATGATTGAAATAAAGGTAAATTTGAATAAGGTTTATCACACTTAAACCTTACCGTCAATTTTATGAAATTGCAGTAAAAATGTTAAGGCTTCATTTCTCCAAGGGTGTGAAAGTTTTTAATACTAAATATTTACTGAAGATTATTTGTTGATCAGATATTATGTAGCAATAATAAAAATTTTACTACCTTATACAGAGTGTCCAAAAATTTATATTAAATAATTACTAGCTTTAAACGGCAATAACTTGTTTAATTTAAATGGAACACCCTGTATATTTTACGTGAATCATATGCACAATTTATTTGTCTATGAAATTTTATTATACCATTCTTACCTATCTCTTCAAGTTTTCGTAGAAAATGCATTTTCTTATAATTTAGACCTCATTTATCACTATACCCATGGAATATTGACATTTCAGATTTTTTTTAAAGCAACATATATGTACAAAATGTACAGGTGGTAAATATTGCAAGCCCATTGGTATACAAAAAAAACTATTTAAATCTTTTTAAAAGAGTATACCAATTAAATATACCACCATTATTTTATTATTTCCGACCAAAAATTAGGTAATTACATACTTTTAAATTGTTTTAGTTAATAAAGTATTCTCAATAAACATGGATTTGGCTCAGAAATCAATATAATAATAAGTTATGAAAATGAACGTTTCTGTTTTTATAAATAAGCATTCGTCAAAAAATGAAATAAAATTTATAAGGTGTTACATTTTACCACACTGTCTAATACACACACAAAATTCAGTTTTTCAGTTTTGGAGCAATTATTATTAATCAACGTAAACAGTCAATTAATGTAGTTTGAATACTGGGATCATATTAATTGGTCCTCGTTAACAAAAAATATTTAAACAGTTTTTTTATTTTATTTTTTAATGAAATAAGCGAACTACATATATCGACAATATTAGTATCTGCACTCTTTGAAAATTTGTTACATCTTAAAAATAATCTAAAATGTCAATATTCCATGGATATAGTGATAAATGAGGTCTAAATTATAAGATAATGCATTTTCTACGAAAACTTGAACAGATGGCTAAAAAATGGTATAATATAATTTGATAGACAATTAAATTCTACATATGATTCACGTCAAATACAGGGTGTTCCATTTAAATTAAACAAGTTATTGCCGTTTAAAGCTAGTAATTATTTAATATAAATTTTTGGACACTCTGTAAAACGTAGTAGAATTTTTATTATTGCAACACAATATCTGATTAATAAATCATCTTCAGTAAATATTTAGTATTAAGAACTTTGATACCCTTGGAGAAATGAAGCCTTAAAATTTTTACTGCAATTTCATAAAATTGAAAATATTTCAAAAACGGTAAGGTTTAAGTGTGATAAACCATAATCAAATTTGCCTTTATTTTAATCCTAGAATCTAAAAATAGAATAATATACAGGATGTTCCATTTAAAAAAATACAACTATAATATTTTTTACTTATTTGGGACACTCTGTATCTTGTAAAAATATTTTTAAATTGTAGCTCTAATAGTCCTTCAACGAACCCAAAACTTACAATTTGTAAAAATCTAATCGTTTAGCTACAATACTCCGTGTCGTATGTGGTGAACAACCCTGTATATGTGAGAACCAACTGAAGATATACAGGGTGGGCCACTGAAAACTTACAATGGCTATAATTTTTAAACCAAAAAAGATATCAAAAAAATATAAAATACCGTTTCCATAATATCGAGGGGGAATACATATGACGTATTTTTTGAACCACCCCGACCTACCCCTTAGGCAGCACCCCTACTCACTTGAAAATCTTAAATAGCAACACCCCACTTATGGCGCCTTTTTGGAAAGCCCATGAAAAATGCTAAACGATAATCATAAAGTTTTTAGGGTGAAATTGAAAAACTACCCCTTACACGAAAAATTAGGTGGACATTAATGAAAAAAGTGATTCTTTCAGCATAAGTATCCAAATGAGGCAAATGAAATATTTTTAAAAACCACCCCGACCCACCCCTAGGTGCCACCCCCTGACTTCTAATCTCAAGATAGCGATACCCCACTTGTGACACTTCTTTGTAAAGCTAATTGAAATTACTAAATATAAAAAATCTTAAAATATGTAAAACAACAAAATAAAATATACGTGTTTAAGAGTTTTTCCGAAAAACTCACCGGTTTTTGAATAAAAAATATTTTAATATTTGAGGGATAGTTCCTTAGTTAATCACCCCCTTGGAATTCGAGTTTCGAAAAATCCCTTCTTATCGAACCTCTACACCCTAAAGTCAATTTATTACTGTTTTCCAAAAATCAGCTTTTTACGTCAAGCGCTTTAAGCAGGATCGTGATTAATCAATGACCAGATTTTTCGAAACACCCTGTATACGTTTTTAAAAAATCTTAAAATATGTAAAAAAACAAAATAAAATATACGTGTTTAAGCGTTTTTTCGGAAACTTGACCTTTTTTTAAATAAAAAATATTGTAATATTTGAGGGGTGGTTTCACTCTCTTGGAACTGGAATTTCGAAAAATCCCTTCTTATCGAACCTCTACACCCTAGAATCAACCTGTATAGCACCACCCCTAGGTGCCACCCCCTCACTTCTAATCTCAAGATAGCGATACCCCACTTGTGACACTTCTTTGTAAAGCTAATTGAAATTACTAAACGATGGTCATACAGACTTCAACTTAATTACAGGAAAGTAGTGATAAGAAATGTAGGTGTGACAATTTAAAAGAAATTTAAATTGATAATTTTTTTAACAATTGCTCAAAATGACAGCCATTTTGTTCCATACAAAAATTCAAACGATTTTCAAATTCTTCTCTCACTTTTTGGAAAGTCTCTCTCGGAATATTTCGACATGCTTCAGTTATCCTCTGCCGCAATTCTTGCAACGAACCTAGTTGGCTCCATCTTGTTGAAAGTGTATGAGGTCCTCATTAAGAGTTAAATTTCCTTCCAAATCTCTTTGATTTTCAACCTCATTTACAATGTCTGGCTCTATCAAATTGTTCAGCATTTCCACATAAGCATCACCAGTCAAATTTCTGTCGATGAAAAATGGACCTATAATTTTATCGCCTAGTATTCCGCACGAAACATTGAGCTTTTGAAGATGTTGGGTGTGTGCGGATTCTCATCGCTCCAGTATCTGCAGTTCTGCTTATTCACATTTCCGTTTAAAAAAAATGAGCACTTATCACTAAAACAAATATTTTTAGTGAGTGAAGGTTCCTTGAGTGAAATTTCCTCCGTCATTAGTTCGCAGAACTGAATCCTTCTATCTGGATCGCCGTCGCCAAGTTCCTGCAGAATCTTCATTTTGTAAGAATGGAATTTGTGCATTTTCGATACCCTTCTGACAGTTGTTCGAGGTATACTTGTGATTGATGCCAACTGGCGTGTTGATGCTTCTGGATTGACCGATACCTGACCAATAACTTCCATCTGCATTTCTTCATTGAGCACCCTGGGCCCTGTCCTTTTTTTTATTTTTGACCGATCCAGTTTCATGAAACTTTAAAATCAAATCTCTAACATAAACGTGACTTACGTTTTTGTCCGATTTCTCTCATTGAAAGCACGGGCCGTTCTCAAATAGCACATACCTTCAGCACCATAAAGAAAAACTATTTGAATTCTTTCTTCCACAGTATAAACCATGTTTCTTTCAAATAAGCGAATCAAATAAAGGTTTAAAATACCACCAAATTTGCAAACGATTGAAAATCGATAGAAGACAGTGCAAAAACGCAAAGATATGCCGTTTTAAGATTCCTGTTTGTTGAAAGTAAAAAAATAGATGATAAGGAAGAATTTGCATTATCTCAAAATTAGGCTGAACGATTAGTAAAACATCTTTTTGTTGCCTTTTTATCTACATTTTTTATTTTTAGCTTCAAAATGACAATGGCTTCAAAATGGCATTGGTGAGATTAGAAGTGAGGGGGTGGCACCTAGGGGTGGTTTGAAAAATACCTCATTTAGCTCAGTCCTAATTTGTAACTTAAAATCACTTTTTTCATTAATGTCCACCTAATTTTTTGTGTAAGGGGTAGTTTTTCAATGTCACCCTAAAATCTTTATGATCATCGTTTAGCATTTTTCATGGGCTTTCCAAAAAGGCGCCACAAGTGGGGTGTTGCCATTTAAGATTTTCAAGTGATTAGGGTTGCCGCCTAAGGGGTAAGTCGGGGTGGTTCAAAAAATACGTCATATATGTATTCCCCCTCGATATTATAGAAACGGTATTTTTTATTTTTTTTTTGATATCTTTTTTGGTTTAAAAATTATAGCCATTGTAAGTTTTCAGTGGCCCACCCTGTATGGAGAAAAAGTATAGATGGATTTTTTGAAAAATGAATCACGAACAAGTGGCGCTTACTTTTAAGACCTATTGAGGTAAAATTGGATACAACGATAATTACTGCGTAAAAGTTATGTCTATTGCACAACTTTTTGCGCATAAGAAATTGTGATCAAGTTCTTAATTTACTAGAAGCTGACCATGGAGCTTTTCGTAATATGGGAAATGACACGAGAAGACCAACGAACACAGCATTCCAAATACGCGAAAAATTTGTATCATTTCTAAATAGTAATTAGCAAATAATGGACCATTTTTTATTTTTTAATATATATATATATATATATATATATACTTTTAAAAATATCTATTTTTAATTTATTATGTTTACTCACCAGTCATTTCACCAACAGACATTGCAATTTCGTCCCATATTTTGTCTTTCTTTTTTGTATTCTTATATTCACTATGAGATAAATCATATAAAATTGGTTGCTCACGCACGTTTTCAATAATTTTTTCTGTATTACACATGATAACTATGGTAATTCTATTTGTTTATTACTTGCGAACTGGCGGGCAAATGGTGCATGCAGCGTTCTAATCTACTGTACCGCCGGCGCCGTCCGCAAACTTCCGCCCGGGAGTTCGCTCTTCGCTGCAAGAAGAGGCGGGCTCGTTCGCGGCGGTGGTGCCACTTCTATCAATTTTTCGGTAGATCTACCGATTTGGCAATCTATCTACCGATCTACCGAAAAGTCTCTATTTTCTACCGATTTTAATTCTTTTTATATTTTAGTGTCATAGATATTAAAAACGAATGTTGTAATAGAATTTGTATGAAATATTTAATGAGTAATATTTTCTTGAATCACAAATACGCAAATTACAGTACACCTATTATCAGGGAAAGTTTCTTTGTTTTGTCAAGGCCTTGTCTATTATAATCAAGTGTCAAGGGTAAACTGTACTTTTTACATTTAATTTTTAAAAATGGTCGAAACGTCATGAAATATTTCTTTTTTCTTTTATTATTATCAATAAATTTATAAATTTTAAATTATCAATAAATAATAATTAATGGAGTAAATCTCTAAAATATTTATTTACACCTGACCTCAAACCAAGAATAAAATTTACTAAAAGCAGACTAAGTATAGCTTGTGCTTTTTTAGGGATAAAGGGATCAAAAAGAATCAAATTTCTAAAAATAATTGAATTGTATGATGAAATGTATGATGATGAAAATTGTATAAGTAGTAAACATAGTAAACTATCTATGTATCTAGTGAATTTTAAATGTTAAATGAGTATTAAGTACCTCGGTAAAAATTAAATTCTCAAAAGTATTAAAAAATATTTTTGAATAGCTTTAGGCAGTATATACTTGGAGAGGCTTTGCAAGAGCATCCATTAAAAAAATTCTAAAACGATATTTATTAATTTATTTAAGAGTTTCCTTCTGTGTATTCATGTTTAATATACAATTTTGTGTTGTTTGTATTTTTCAAACATCTTTTTATACGCCAGAAACGACTTACTTTGGGCACTTCTTAATAAAACCACGTGTTAATTATCCAATCTACCGATTTCTACCGAATTTTGACCAAGATCTCTACCGATAATAAAATTTTGGTCGCGGCAACACTGGTTCGCGGTAGTGTGCCCTCTTCAATTTAGTTACGTGTACCGTTACTGTCCGCAACGCCACCGCGCCCGCCACCGCTCTGGTTTGCGCGACGCTTAGCAGTTCTTTTGCGGTTTTAGTGCTAGGTCCTTGGATAAAAGCCTTGCTGTGCCAGTGCCCCTGTCTGTTTCCCCATTACTACATTACTTTATGTTACTCTATCACTAGATCTCCAAAATATTTAAATATGCTTGATTTTATAGGAAAATAGCTAACAAGTGTGGTAGTAATCTCAGAAATTGTGTCAGAGAGTATTCAGATTGTACTCGTTGAAATTTAAATGAAAATCATTATCACAAATTGTAGCACTACTAGGTAACTATATTTTTTGACACAATTTGCTGTTACTCCTCCTAGGTGCCTTCTCTGTTGAGGTTGGCGATTAATATGGCATATGACTGTCCAGAGCTTGGTGAATAAGGGTGTTCCGTCCTTTTCCGTCAGCCATGATTTCTTTTTCCTCTCTATATGCTACGTTTTCCATCGATTTTAACATTGAAAATGTTTCTGTTATCCTATATAAGGGAGCCCAAATCGAATTAAAATGCTACATTTGCCACACCATGACGTCATATATACAAGGGTATAGGAAATCTCGGCGCAGCGGCGGCAGTCGGCCAGCGCGCGCAAAAACCATTACATCGCTAATTGTTTATTGATATATCTTTATTAGTTTAAAAGCAAAAATGGGTAAGGCTATGAAGGTAGATGTTACCCAGTCTTCGGGGATTGTTCCGGTTTCATATACTTTATTGAAAAATTGGGTCAGTATTTTGATGGCATTATCGCTTATGTGTTTGAAGTGCTCCGCTGTTATTTGACCTTCGCCCGGTGCTTTATTGCTTTTCGTTTCTCGGATTGCTTTGATTACTTTTTTAATATTGGGTAGATGGTCTCCTTTCTCTATTTTTGGATTTTCCTGTTTTCTTCTCGCATCTCCGAACAATTCTTTCAAATAGTTCTCCTCATAGACTTAAAATATTTTAAATCTATGGTTCTCCCATATAACCTGTTGTTTGCTGGGGTCCAGTTCTATCACGTTATTTTCGTTTGCGATTGCTGACAGATGCTGCTGTTACTAGGCACTGAAAACTGAGTTGGGGAAGAATAATAACTTAGTTAATGCAACAATTGTGTCATATATTTACAAAAATCTAAGTACAATCTGTGCTGTGGTACAATGTTGTAATTTTTTTCTTTTTATTTGTTTTTTTTCAGTGTAGAAATGAAATAAATATATTTTATTAAAAATATTTACATTTGCATTGCATTACGGGTAGTTCTCGTTTAGAACTTTGCAAAGAGATGGAGTGCTTTAACGCAAAGAAAGAATGAGAGGAAGGTTTGGTACAACAAATATAGGTATATCGCAATGGGCCCAAGACCTCCGAGTGAGGGATCGAACATGATCCCAAACTCCAACAATTTAACCTAACCTAACAGGTAGTTCCATGATTTCAAACCATAGACTTAAAATAAAATATAGACTACACTATTTACATCTCAACGCGGACAAACAACCTTTTTTGTACACATGTTTACTTCTGGGTACAGTCGACCGAGCCTTCCTCATCCAGCCTATGTTGTCACGTCTTTAATATTATCAATATTTTTTTTCTTGTTATACACATATATTGAGATATTAATACCGTATGATCGAGAAAAAACGGCGTCAGCGATGGCTATGGAATGAAGATCGCTGTCATTTTATATGTAAATTTATATGGGAAATGTCATTGATGTTCATTTCCCAGCCAACTGGACGCCGTTTTTTTTCGATCATACGGTACTATAGTTTAATAAAGTAGGTTTTAATATTCCATAGATGTATTAAATAGTCCTTATACTACAAAATTATAAGTCGGATACTGTTTAATAATGATAAGTTCTTTACAATATGACAACACCGATTAGAGGCGAGGGAGCCTATTCATTCATTTATTACCTTGTAGTACGTGTCGCACGTGTGCGGTAAAGCTTTGTTGCCGCTATCTCCCCGGCTGTATTAACGCATTTTCTTAGCTTGTAGTCCTTAAGTGTTTATTTTATTGACTTTTTCTGTTCAAAAACTATAAAATATGGTTCGCCAGTGCCAAATTTGCAAGAAATTTGACTTTAATAATCCATTTAAGTCTTGAAACGACTTTTGACCGGTAGGCAACTCTCAATTTACCCATTGGGAGTCAGTGGCGTTGTTGTAGAAAGGCGCTTATTTAGATAATATTTTAGTAAAATGTAAAATCTGATTTTTTTCTCTTACATTACATTATTTACTTACTTACATTGTAACAAAATCATAATTATAACCCTGTTAATAATAAATAATGTTTTTATTAAAAATATATTCCGGTTTATTCTAAAATTATCTTCAGAATCTAAAATAACATACAAGAATTTTAAAATGATATTACATTATGAAACAATATTTTTTAATATACCGGGTGTCTCAAAAGTGGCTCAACCCTATAACTTTTTTTATTTTTTCAGATAAAAAAACAGATTTGTATATTAGTAGGTATATGACATTAATTAGGATTTATTGACGTATTCAATTGTTTTTGGTCTCTTCCTGTTTCACCGAAATGATTACATCTTTTGATTTTTAAAGGCACCCTCGGTATATTGCTACTTTATTCGATAAAAAATGACACTCTAAATAGAATGACATCATATGTCAACTTTTGACATTGTCGCTTAAAAACATATCCTATTTTAAATTTCAATCCAGTTTTTTTCAGTCCACTAAGTTTTAATCAAGGAGCTTTGGAAAAATAGTTTTGATCGTCTAATAGGTTTCGTGTCTTGTCTAGGCCGGTTAAAAGATGTACAAATCGTATTTTTAATGATACATATGTCAATTTTTTCAAATGGAACAAGGGTGACTCATTAGCATATTTGGAAAAAGCATTTTTTTATGAATATATTGATACCACACACTTGGTATTTCGAGTCAAATTGTCGTTATGAACCGAGGGTGCCGTTTAAAAATTAAAAGTTATAGTCATTTTCGATGAAACAGGAAGTGACCAAAAACAATTGAATGCGTCAATCAATCCTAATTTATTTCATATACTAACATACTAAATCTTGTTTTTTTTATTTGAAAATATAAAAAAATTATGGGGGGTGAGCCACTTTTGAGACGCACCCGGTATAATAAAGACAGTACCGAGTTAAATAAATGTAGTTTGTATTTTATCCACTTCCTATCACCTTCCTTGCTTTAATGGAACAGATTTATGTTTTCTCTAATTTACATAATAAGACATCACTTAACCAGAAAAAACATTACAACAATCATATTTTTTTTTCTCTCCCTGTCGCCGATTCTATTATATCTGTGGAATAGATCCTGTTTTGATTAATATTAGGGGTTGTAAATGTTTGACTGAAATTAATAATTTATTATTCATTTCAAAAATTACCTAATTTCCATTATAAAATTTCTTCTATAACGTGTATTTTATTATTTTTATCCTTTTTGGACTCTAAATTGTTTTTTCTAAACTTTTATTTAAAAAACCTGTCCTAAATCTTAATAAAATATAAAAAAGTTTAAATACGATATATTTTTAATTTAATTATAGCTTCATTAAAATAAAAAAAATTACCCGGCTATGATACGGAGAGTTCAGGTTTACTTGAGAAACGAAAGACAGTGTTGTGTTTCTCGGCAGAGTCGTCAGGGAACGACCGTTACGACAGAGACAACCTATCTATCGCTCGTGTCGCACTCGTTATAACCTAAAACAATAACACAACAATAACAAGACAGTGTCTGACCGCATATTCCAGCTATTTATGAATGAGATACTCAGTCTATATTTTATTTTAAGTCTATGTTTCAAACACTAACAACAAAACAATAGAGAAAATTGACCAAAAGGTAAGGCGAAAAAATACGCAAAAAATTCCACCCTGGTCCCTCTGGCCTAATCCGACCCTGACCGTACACAACCATTTTTTCTTCAATGTTGCTGCGGAGAATATTCAGGAATCCTGCTATCTTGCATATACCTCCCTGCAATGAAATAAGAATGTTGCACCTTGCTTTGCGAAGTTTCGACGATGGTGCAGCACCAAAATGTTGCTTGTTGGGCATAATTTCGCAATTATTATATATGTCTTAACATTTACAGGTGTCTTGGTCTGTCAATCAGGATGTATCTTAGAAAATATAGATAACGCTCTAGAAGAACATGGACTTATGGCCCCTTTAGATTTGGGAGCAAAAGGAAGCTGCCACATTGGTGGAAATGTATCTACTAATGCAGGTGGCTTAAGATTGCTGCGATATGGAAATCTTCATGGTTCAGTATTGGGGCTAGAAGTCGTACGTATATTTTATTTCTTACACAATTAGAAATAAGGGTATTTTACCATTAGCTTCGGTACGTACAGTAGAAAATTTTCCGTCGATATCTAAGACAAACAGGACCTCTCAAAGGAGTTGTCAAACTAAAAAATCACAATCTTGTACTCAAATGCCACTCCTGAAATGAAAAGAATTTCGGACATCTTCTTTATTTATTTTTTGATTAACACAACGTTTCGATTAGAAGGAACACTGACCGTTATCAAGTGTAAACTAAACTATTTTCTAAAACTACTGAGCTTTTATACTACAGCCAGGCATTCGCCATTCACTCGTGAAGAACTTGGGTACCGTCAACTGTGAGGTTATCCCCTTAGAATTCCTGCATTGGTACGTTTTTATTTTTAAAGCACCTGGTGTATACACCCTTTCTCTTGTTTCAATGACTACGGTTTTGTTTTTGTTAGGACACTTCTGAGTCGATCCAGATTTGAAGACAGTTTTAATTTTATACTTTTTGGCTATTCGTCTGATCTTTTCTGACGTTCCTTTTACATATGGAAAAGTCCGAAATTCTTTTAGTTTCAATACTGAATCATTGTCTACCACATTCAAAGTAAATGCCACTCCATTTACCAACAGTACCTAGCAGATCGTAGTAAAATAGAGCGAGCAAATTCGCAATAACTTAATAAGAAAATTTTGATGATACTTCTAAAGACGAAGCAATATATTTTGACGGTACTTAAAGATTAGTCTTTAATTGAAATAGAAATTGGAGATAGGTATTATCAAAAAAACAATTGTTGAAAAAAAACATGTTTTGGTTTTTGAACCTGGATCAAGATATTTAGGACTTCTTTGGGTGCCATGTGCTATGCCGCACGTTGGCGATCATTCGTCTGTTTTATGGCTATCAGATGACTAGGGTGCCCTCTTCGGCTCGTCGAAATATAGTTGCGGCGTTAGGTATGCCACTCCAGTTTCTTATGTTGCGAAGCCAAGAATGCTGTTTTCGACCCGGTCCCCGTCGGCCTTCGATCTTCCCCTGCAGTATCAACCTGGGTATGGAGTATTGACGTCCCCTTAATATATGCCCTAGATATGATACTTTGCGTTGTTTTACGGTATCCATTAGTTGTCTGTCTACTCTGGCTCTTCTTAGGACTTCATCATTTGTTCCGTCCAGGGTATGCGCAGGGCTCCGTCCAGGGTATGCGCAGCAATCGGCGAAGTGTCCACATTTCGAAAGCCTCAATTCTGTTTATTGATTTTACCTTAAGTGACCAAGTCTCAGCGCCATACAACATCACAGGCCACACATACGATTGAATTACCGGTATCCTGGTATGTAGCGGCATATTTCTATGCAGGAGTAAATTCTTTAGTTTAAAGAAGGTTGTTTTTGATAAGAATGATACTCTATGTTATTATTACTCTATACTCTATGTATTCTGTGGCTAATCAGCTGATATATAATTTAGAGGTTATGAGAATTATTATGTCTTGTTTAGAAAATTATGCGCATTTATTAATGTAAAAGGTTTTTCTGTCAAGTTGATCAATATAAAGTTTTTCCTAAACTATAGCGTCTATTTTCCACAAAAGATCCCACAAACCTCAACAGGTTATGGGCCCAGATGTTTAAGATAAATAGTTGGAAAAAGTAAGAAAAAGTTCCGCTGCAGTCAGCTAAAGAAAATTGAAGTTCAAGTTAAGGTCAACTGACAGTAAAATGGGCTCACTAGCTGTACCGATTTTAGAAGCCAATAATTTTAACAACTGGTTGTTTAGAATAAAGATGATATGTAGAAAAGAAGGATGTGTAGAAGCACTTGAGAATGACCCACCTGAAACGACAGAATCAGCTACAGTAAAGGCTAATTTTCAAAAGGAAGATGCCAAAGCACAGGCAATTATTGTCACAGGGTTATCAGATAAACACCTTGATATTGTGAAAGATTGCGAGACTGCAAAGACACAGATTGAAGCTTTGAAGAGTGTGTTTACAAGAACAACTTCTTTGACTAAATTAGCAGTTTGGCGCAGATTAATTAATCTGAAAAATGAACAGTGTGAAAACATGGAAGATTTATTTTTAAAATTTGACACCATTGTACGGGACCTTAAAGAACACAAGACAGTATTGAATGACAGCGACAAGGTATGCCATTTACTATTATCTTTGCCTGAAAGGTATAACTCAGTAGTTACAGCTTTAGAAACTATAGAAAATGTAAAGTTTGATTTTGTTAAGTCACGACTTTTAGATGAAGAACTGAAAATAAAAGCGAAATCTGAAGATTTAAGTAGTTTTAAAGCCTCAGCAGGTTGCTTCAGATGTGGAAGCCAATCACATTGGCAATCATCATGTCCTAAAAATAAAGACAGAGGTGAATCATGGCGTGGTAGAGGTGTTTATATTAGAGGATATAATAGAAGAGCGAGAAGTGGAAGATCATATAGAGGTGGTGGTCGCAACTACAGGCAAAATGAGAGAGAAGACAGGCAAGCACATATGACAGAGGAAACAGAAGGTGAAGTACAACTTTATGCAGCAAACCTATGTTTAGAAACAGATGGTAAAATAACAATGGTTCTTGATTCCGGTGCTAGTAACCACTTTTTAAAGGAAGAACTCGAGAAATATATGGTAAATATCAGAAAACTAGATAGACCAGTAATAATACATATTGCAAATGGTGAAAAGTTGCAAGCGAACAAAATTGGAACATTGAAGACACAATGTCAAAGGCAGAAAATATCGATTGAAGCATTAATTGTTAAAAACTTAAAACATAATTTATTATCAGCGTCAAAATTGACATCAAAAGGGTACACTATAGTAGTAGAAAGAGATAAAACAACAATAAAAGGAGAAAGTTTTTCTTTGAAATGTGAAATGAAGAATGGGTTGTACCTGCTACAATTAGATGAGGTAAAAGATCAAGAACAGTGTAATGTCACAGTACAAGAGCAAGGATTGTGGCATAGACGTCTTGGACATCCAGGAAATGATGCGTTAATACAGCTTGGGTTACCAACTGAAAAGAAAATATGCTCTACATGTATGGAAGCAAAAGGGGTAAGGTGTTCTTTTAAAAACAGTGTAAAAAGGACAACAAAAATAGGAGAACTAATCCATACAGACATATGTGGTCCTTTTAATCCAACTGCATATGATGGTTCCAGATATTTTCAGACAATCATTGATGATTACTCACATTTTACCATAGTAAAGACACTGAAGACTAAGAATGAAGCTGAACAGAACATTAAAAACTTTATTGAGGAAGTTGAGACACAAAAAGAAGTAAAAGTTAAAGCTATAAGAGCAGATAATGGAGGTGAATTTGTATCGAATACTTTTAAGGTATTTTGCATGAACAAAGGAATAGCTTTGGAATATACTATGCCCCATACACCACAAGAAAATGGAACAGCTGAACGAATGAATCGGACTTTATTAGACAAGATTAGAACAAAAATCATAGAATCAGCAATACCTAAAACACTCTGGTGTGAAGCTCTAAAATGCTCTGTTTATGAGCTAAACAGACTCCCTACAAAAGCATTACAAAGAGGAATGACACCTTCTCAAATCTGGAATAATAGGAATGATCTAAGCAAACTCAGAGTTTTTGGGTGCAGATCCTGGTATACCAAATTACCAAAAGGTAACAAACTGGATCCTAGAGCAAAGACAGTGGTAATGGTAGGCTATTGCGGTGGTGGATACAATTTATGGTCACCAGATGAACAGAGACTAATAAAATCCAGAGATGTTAGATTTGATGAATCAGTAATGGAATTTAAAGAAAGAAATAATAATAAAAAGCAAGAAACAAACCAGAAAACTATTAGTTTTTCAGAACAAGATAAAGAAAATGAAAATTTACAAGAAAATGACCAGAACATTGACCCAAATGAGACTTTATCAAACAGTTCAGGAGATGAATTTCAAGATTCAGGAAATGAACCTAACAATGAAATAGAAGTGCCAGAAACAACAACTACCAGAACTGGAAGAACAACAAAAAGACCAGGCTATTTGACAGATTATGACATGCATGTTGCTTACTGTTTGCTTACAGCAACAAGTACAGAACCAAGAACGTTTCAAGAAGCCAATCTACAAGATGAATGGAAAGAATCTATACAGAAAGAATTAAGTTCACACATAAATCTAGAAACTTGGTCTGAAGTTTATGTTTTACCAGAAAATGTGAAACCAATAGATACAAGATGGATATTTAAGCAGAAGGAAGATGGCACGAAGAAGTCCAGATTAGTGGCTAAGGGATTTCAAGTTCCATATAATGGAGAAGAATTTGATTATGCTCCAGTATGTAGAATTTCTACCATAAGGCTCATGCTATCCATTGCAGTTGAACGAAACTACTTAGTTGAGCAAATAGATGTGCCAACAGCATTTCTCAATGGAGAAATTGATACTGATGTTTACATCAAAAAGCCTGAAGGATTGGTGAGCAATTTTAAATTTTTCAAATTAAAAAGGGCACTATATGGTTTAAGAAATTCACCCAAATGCTGGAATATAAAATTTAACGATATAATGACGAATTTAGGGTTTATAAGGTCAAACTACGATTATTGTTTGTATCTAAAAGAAAATATCTACCTAGTTTTATACGTAGACGATGCACTCATAATGGGAACAAACGAACAAGTTGATACACTAATTCAAAATCTTTACAATGTATTTCAGGTAAAAAAAATGACAAAAATCCAATCATTTTTAGGAATGCAATTTGAATTTAAAGAAAATTATATTAAGGTCCACCAGACAAAAATGATCGAAAAACTTTTAAAAGAATTTGAAATGGAACAAACAAAACCCATAGCAACACCCATGGAAGTAAATTTCCATATCTCTGAAGAAGAAGAAATATTACAAAATGTACCATACCGAAGACTTATTTGCAGTTTAATGTACATTTCAATAACAACGAGACCTGACATTTGCCAAAGTGTCTCACTATTGAGCAGATACTTGG